TCTCCGCGGAGCGCTTGCCGCCGCCATCACTCATTCGCAATTACAGGGGAATCCGCGACAGCGGAGCGCCGACCGCCATCTCGAACGACTCGATATATCGAATGACTTGCCGGGTTCCGGAGCGGTCAGCGGAGTGGTTACGGCGCCAGCCGTCAGCTTCGGGGTTTGCGGGCTGGAATAACACCGGAGGCCAGGGTGCTTGCTTTAGAGTTGTGGCGTGGTGGGGCGTATCCCAATCGCCATTCCTCCTTGTACATCTCCCTGGCGAAATGTTGTATGAATACGATGAAATGTGTGTGACTGCCTGCGCGCCCGAGGGGAGAAAGATACGTAAGCCTTAAGGGCCGTCACGTGAGTGCCACCTGGCCGCTACCAAACTTCCCTACTTGTAATGATGTTGATGTGTCACTATGGACTTACGAGTCACCAACGGCAGACAACATTTGCATTTAGAATGCACAATGATGGTGAATGAAAATATATTGAATTACTTGATTGTATCTCGAATTTTACGAATAGTATTTATTCTTCCTGTTGCTCGCGTGCATGTAAATTTATCAGTATTTACCTAAATTATTTTTGTTTGATTGGTCAGATGCCAACAGTACAATAAATAATTTTCTTTTTTTTCTGAACAAAAAAATTGTATTTGACTGCTTACTCAGTTTTCAGTAGAAAGAGGATTGAAGTGTATGAATGATGTTAGGAAGTAAAAGTTTTTAGAGATTCATCACTTAATTCAATAATTGAGTTCTTTGTTCTATTACCCAAACACCAATTTTATTATTGAAATTTGTACACTATCAGCAACTCTTCAACAACGATAAAATTTACGTAAGTAACAGTTCGTGCAAACTATTAAGACCGGTGATACCAAGAAACGCTCTAAAAATCAAGATAGCACGATCAGTTTTCTGGAAAATTCAAAAAGTTTTTCAGAGATATCAACTGAGTTTCATATAGTATAAATTTAGATCATAACTGACGTCAGTGACCAAAATTATTTTATTTCCTTTTTAAAAATTTTCTAATTGTTTTGTAAACTTTTACATATTTTTAATATGTATTAATATGATATAATATGTAACTCAAAGTATTTTTTTCAGTTTGCACAATAATCCTTTATTCCTTACTAAAAATCTTAGAATTTATGTTTTAAAATTCGAGTTATGATGATAGTGCACAACTAATATTATTTATTTATTTAATTCAGTTCCTCCATTAAGCAGTTGTACTTCTAAAAAGCCTTTGATGTACATCCTTCAAGGCAGTTCGAATCTTGATTGGAACCTACGTACTTTGGAATGATATGGATTCGACGAGAAAGTAGTGTTAATACAGAGAGATAAGAAAGAAAGAAAAATAATAAAATATAGATTTTGTCTGTGCAGGTAAAAAGTTTAGTTGAAAAGTTTCATGTACTCAAATAACATCTTCGAAATTGAATCATTTCAATACATTTTGATTCATTGTGCTAATGAAAATATACTCAATTGAAAATTATATAATTCTAATTAATATGTTTACGCGAGGATGCAGAAATATAAAAAATTAGCAAAAGATATTTTAAAGGAGTATCATTCTCAAGCAACACATTATTAATCTTCAGACAATCAATAAATAATCATAGCTTTAGGAGTTAAAAAGAAATATTATTGTTTTAAACGGCCCTCTACGTACATTAATTTCGAAAAGCGTTTTGCAGCACATCACACTTTACACATGTTTCACTCAATGATTGCACATGAAGTGATTGATGCACGGAAATATAAAAAAAAGCAATGACGACCACTGGCCACCAAGACATCACGCCCACAGTTCGAATTCTTTGTCAGTTTCGCGTTTTCAAATCACACGATGCCATAGAATGAAAGTGTTGATAATGCAGCGACAAATTGAATTGTGTTGTTATATTTTGAAACCGTGTGGATGTTTAAATGATGGATGATGGCTGTAATTTTGTGATGTACGGACGGATGCCCAGTAATTGATGGATGAGCGGCTGGGCAGGCGTGGAGTGGGTAAGAGAGGCAGCGGTGCAGTCTGTGTTTCGGGATGATTCATAATTTGTAAAAAGGGTGGTGGTAGTGGTGGTGGGGGCCGTGGTGGTGATGGAGGCTGTGTGGGTATTGCGCGCTTTCATTGAATACCGCTCGTGGTAGCCGACCTCCACGAGAACCTGGCATTTGATTTATAAGGGGCTTCTCCCACTACAACCTCTACTCGTTCCCTTCCCCCAACCCTGCCTCCCTCTCCACCGCCGCTACTTTCTTACTACTTGCCACTACAATGCACCGCCACCTGTAACAGGAGTTTCCAAGCTCGGTTCAGGCGACTCTCGCGTGTTTCACGGGCCAAAGCCGCCAGGAATAATCGTATGCATTGCTTAATGTCCGATGTAGTCGATATTCCGTGAACAAAGGACTTCCGAGAAGGTACGTGTTTGCCCGTTCGTGTTGGGACAAGCCAGCGGTTCTATGATCTCTTTCTCGTAAAAAAGCTGTAAAGTAGAAGGTAAAAATATTTCCTTTTTGGTGGAGTGTTATAAATAAATACAATGGTATGTTCTTTCAGCACGTATCTTTTTATATTGAATTTTATAGATATTATTTTAAAGTTACATTTTAAAGACATTTCATGGAGAGGATATCAACAGTCATACGTGTTTCTCACTACAGAACTTCTTTTATTTGTTATGATCCACCGATTCTAATGGCTGTGGTGAGATGATAGAGGTAATCTTATGTATTACAGAATACAAAATTCTTAAAACATTGGTTCAAAGAAACCAACCTCTCACAATTACTCCTCTATTTCAGGTTGTTTCTCCCATTTGCTAGGGACATCATTGGTAACATTGAACTCCTCAGCGGTCCAATTTCTGTCTGCATTGTTTTAATGCTTTTCATAGTTATCGCAGTTTCCCACAGACCATTCTAAGAAGTGCTTACTGTAAACAATAACCGACGTGTGCGTAGCTTTGTCTCTGCAACCACTATGTCCCAGAGATGGTTTCGGCAGATAAGAGGTTGCAAACTTTCCGCTCTCGAGGGAAGCGTATGTAGGAATGCATACTTGTCACTACATAAGGGTAGAGGTTAATTCACTTGATGCTCATGTTGTTCCCGACAGTTACCGGTTGCTCTTTAATTATTGATATCCGATCGAATGATGCTGGTATTGAATGTCATTGCTCGAAATTCCTCGAGGATTATGAGGAGCGTCCCAGTCGCGGGATAAAGGGACTGACAGATGGACCAGGACGGAAATCACAATGAACTCGTTCTTAGCAGAGTCGTGCTTCGTCACTTAAACACATTTCACCGGTAATGTTCAGGACCAAAATGCCCTTTAAACAAAGCTACTACATTATGATGTAGTATTCGATATGATAGACGCGTAACGATTTAAAATATATATTAAATTTGTTCAGTAAAATAATTTAAGAAATTTTGTGGGTTTCAGAGTGCGTTCTCGATACTGCGCATTTGCCATTCCCTCAAAATTATGCAAGAGAGGCAGGCAGGAGCAAATGGTAGCAACGGAGGTAGGGCGAGCAGTTGAACTGGTATACATATCAAAATCATTTTGCGCGAATCGCTTGGCAGACATTCTATAATTTTCGAACAGCACCATTCTCTTCAACGCGCGTCATGCGGAGGGGGGGAACTGATGTTGGTGAGTCGTCAACAATGTATATCATGACGTGAAGGGGGCTAGCGACTCACCGATGAGGGGGATAACGGTGAGTCGTCAACAATGCAAACCACGCCGTGGAGGGAGCAAGCGACTCAACAATGGTGGTGATGCCGGTGAGTCGCCAAAAATGCAAACTACTGTGACGTAGTGAAATGAGAAATGAATTCAAATAACAAAATAAAAATAATATATTAAAAGATTATGTACAAGTTACAATAAATTGCTAGTATTAAAAAACTCCGGCAACCTTTTTCTTTCAATACCCTGCTTTACCGCAGAAAAATACAAGCCACGCGTGATGCGAGCTGTCGGGCCTCCGTCCCGTGACAATTACCGTCACATGGCCTGACGCCAAAATTTAACCCGGTCGTGGCGACCGTGTGCCTACAGCACGCGAGATCGTCTGGCCCTTACTCTCCGGACATCTCGCCCACACTCCTACACACCTTGTACACACACGTACAAGCTTCCCGATGCAAACTGAATGAGAACGCGGGCGCAGATGGCGCCGCGTTAAATAGTTGAGGCTGACACGCCCACCACTGTTCCATAGATAGGCTCGCCGGCTGGCGGCCGCGAGGCTCGCTGGCCAGCAGCTTGGTTTACGCCCACACACAGGATTCTCAGGTTGGCTCGCCTGCATCCGTAAGCGAGGCTCGCTGGCTAGCATCCTCGGAGTTTACAGCCTATGGTTATTTTTGGCTCAGCGGCTCTACCTGAGTCAACCACCAGAGCGCAAACTCCCGGAAGTTCAGGCTCAACCCATTCCTCCCCCGCAGCGTACTTTCACCGACCTAACGGTTCTGGCCCTCGTGTTAACGACGCCACACAACGCCGTGGAGGAAGTAAGCGACTCATAAATGGCGGTAATGCCGGTGAGTCGTCAACAATGCAAACCACGCCGTGGAGAGAGGAAACGACTCACCGATGGTGGTGAAGCCGGTGAGTCGTGAACAATGCAAACCACGCCGTGGAGGGAACAAGC